GGAAAGAAAGAGGAAAGGCAGGTAGGCTGTAGATGATCTGCCCCTTGCCTCTATTGGTCCAGGCCACCGGTGGCCTACGGCCACAAATAAACTCCTGGTTTGCTGCTCCGTAACTTAATCACCAGGACGGCGGCCCTTAGGGATTAGGAAAATGCAAGTTATAGGGGCTTAGGATCAAGGACCCAGTCTGACCATATGGCAAAAACCCCATTCTACTCACTAAAAATACAAAAATTAGGCTGGGCGTTTGGTACATGGTTGTAATCAGCTACTTGGAGGCTGAGAGGCAAGAGCGAGAAAGCTGACCTGGAGAGGTGGAAGGGTTGCAGTGAGTGGAGATCGCACACTGCACTCTAGGCACTGGCGCATGAACAGAGTGGACGCTATTAAAAAAAAAAAAAAGTGCAAGTTAGCTCACTGCAACCCTGATGTTACCAACACTGGACAAAGCCCTCCCCAGCACACAGCACAAGCACCAGCCTACAAAATCTCCAGCAAGGCTTTGTCTCTTTGCAGTCTGCTCCCCTCTTGCTAATTTGCCCCTTGTACCATTGCAGTGTATTTCTGTACTTACTTTTCCTAGTAAATCTGCGTTTTTTGTTTTTTGTTTTTAAAAGAGTCTTGCTGTGTCACCCAGGCTGGAGTGCAGTGGTGTGATCTCAGCTCACTGCAATCTCCACCTCCTGGGTTCAAGCAGTTTTTGTGCCTCAGCCTCCCAAGTAGTTGGGACTACAGGCGTGCACCACCAGGTCTGACTAATTTATGTATTTTTTAGTAGAGACAGGGTTTCGCCATGTTGGCCAGCCTGGTCTCGAACTTTTGGCCTCAACTGATCTGCCCACCTTGGCCTCAAATCTGCCTTTCTTTACCTACAAATGTCTTGGTAAATTTTTACTGCCTACACAATACTGACCTAACATAGTTGCTACCTGTGACAATGTTGTGTGTCACATTACTGGGGATGAAGGTCTGTGGCTTTCATCAGGTAGTCCCAGGACTTGTCACCTTCAGCTAGTTCAAATCCACTCTCCAACCCAGTCACTGGGGATGCAGAGAGAGAGAGGCCTGAGGAGAGGAGTGTGGGTGAAGGTTCTGTGGGCGGGCAACAGCAAGGCCTGCATGAGGAACAAAATATACTAAGACCTGGATTGCTGTTTCCCCCATTATTGTGTCTTTTGAATAACTCACTGGAAGGACCCCAAGGAAGCTTAATTTTGGAACTTAGAGAAGTGTGACAGCTGTAAACCGTGCTTTTCTTAACTGGGAATTAATAAGTAAACAGGAATTCCCCAGCTTCTAGAATGGAAGAGGATATTAGGATACTCCTGGTCATGACTTTGTATTTTAAAATACTACTTGCCAATGTTCTCAAAGTTTTGTATAAATATTAACTCATTAATCTTCATATTTGTTCCTTAAGACAGATTTTTGGTTTTTTTAGTTTGAGAATTACACTTCTACTTCCACTAGCTTTAAGGCATCTTAAGTGTTAAAACTCATCGTGTAAAACAAGATACCTAAAAATAAATTTTAAAATATATCTAACAGGAGGAAAATAATCTGAGATGCCGAATTTGGCATTAAGATTCCTACTTGCAAAAGAAAAACAAAAGCAAAAGCAAAACCCACAGCTTTCATTTTCCATTTATGTACCCAAGAAAAACTAGCATTGTCCACATTGCCATAGAAGAAACACAGGCGCTTCTTTAACGTGTGTTCTTAGGTACATAACTTGGCACTTCTCCCTTGGTTTCCCTGGTCATAGAATGAAGGTAGAAATGAGTAATGCCCCTTCCCAGGGAGAGCAGGAAGCACAGTAATTAGCACAGAAGAGGCTTCACCAGCAGGATACCATGCAGGCGAGCCCTCCCGAGAGATGAAGCAAAGTGAGGAAATTTTGTTCCAGGGTCATGAGAATTATTTTCAGTAGCTTCTTTCCATCTTCCCAGAGGCATCTGCAGAGATCAGCCCTCATCTAATCTCAATTTCTCATGAACTGCCCTTTCAGCTCCTCCTCCTATTGTGGTAAATGACTCCTCCTGATATGGTTGGGATACATGTCCTGTCCAAATCTCATGTTGAATTGTAATCCCCAGTGGTAGAGGTGGGGCCTAGTGGGAAGTGATTGGATTTTGCGGGTGGATTTCTCATGAATGGTTTCTCTTGGTACTGTCCTCATGATAGAGAGTTCTCACAAGATCTGATTGTTTTAAAATGTGTGGCATCTTCCTCCTCTCTCTTGCTCCTACTCCAGCTATGTGATATGCCAGCTCCTCCTTCACCTTCTGCCGTGATTGTAAGTTTCCTGAGGCCGCCCCAGAAGCCAAGCAGGTGCCAGCATTATGCTTCTTGACAGCCTGCAGAACTGTGAGCCAATTAAACCTCTTTTCTTCATAAATTACCCAGTCTCAGGTGTTTCTTTATAGCAATGAGAGAAAGACCTAATACACCTCCCCAGTGCCCGAGCCCCCTCCTGTTTTGGTGCCTGAGTGCTGTGACCCCACACTGCAAACCTACCACGTGTCAGTCATGGCCCTGGAAGATAACACAGATGTCTCATGTGGTCAGCATAAAAACTCTTCGAGGAAGTAATGCATAGTTATGTTGCCAATCAGGGAATTGATACCTAGCAACTCCCTTATTTCCTTTAATCTTCCCTCAATTCTTGCAACTCTATCTTCTCTAAGATCACCAATGACTGCAAAGTATGGTAGGAAACATGCCAAACTGATCAGTTAATTTTTATAAAATACATGTTTAGGTTTTCTGAATATACAAGTAATACACATCCTTTGAGAGGACATAAAAACTACAACAAGAATATAGATAATTATGAGAACACCTCTAATCACACCAGAGATGTAGCAACTCTGGAGGTGTGTTGCTTTAGTCTTCCTTCAAGAAAAATCTTGCCATTGAAGTGCAGTTAGCAGATGGACTCCAGCTGTCAGCATCTTCAAGACCCACCTCAGTGTTAGAGAAGAAGCCATATTCTTCCTGGATGGCCCACAGCCAATGATTGAGTATGCTGGGGATACCATGACTGATCAATGTCTGCCCAATCTAGGACTATTCTAATGGGCAGTCTTCTCTTCAGAGTTCCCCTTGGGTTGGCAGGGGCCAGAAGACTTCACTAGAGTGTGATGTTCCCTGTTCCATGGGAAGACCTGGGGACACTGTTCACGAAGGCCATTGGGAACGTGTGGGTGGAGGGGCACCAGCATCACGGAGAATTAACTGATTGCTTTTGGTAAAAATGGGAGTAACTCTAAAAAAGATTGTATTTCAGTAGAAAACTATAGTGCACTCATTATGAAAGTATAGTCCTGCTCATTTTCTTTGAGGTTTTATCTCTCTGTGAATTTAACTAAATCTATTGGAAGCCAAAATAAAATTCTAAGGCCCCTCAATCATCTGAGTGGACCCCTTGCCATGGCCAAGGGCATTCCAAAGTTGGTTCAGGCCATGACACAAAAGGGGTGTTTAACCTGCCTCATTATACTCTCCTCCCTTCTGGAATTCGGGAAAAGCTGATCAGTATTAACATCAACACAGATCCTAAGTCTGATAAGGAACATTCACAGTCTATTCTCTCTTAAGCCTGCTGTCTGGAGGCTTCATCTGCATGATGAAACTTTGGTCTCCACAGCCCCTTATCATCATAACCCAGATATTCCTTTCTATTGATTCCAGGTCTTTGATAATAACTCTTTCAACCAATTGCCAATCTAACTGCCTTTCCAGATGGAAGCAATGTAAATCTTACAAGTATTTGATTGACATCTCACGTCTCCCTAAAATGTATAAAACCAAGCTCTACCCTGACCACCTTGGGCACATGTTCTCAGCATTTTCTGAAGGCTGCGTCATGGGCCATTGGTCACTCATATTTGGCTCAGAATTTCAATTATTTTACAGAGTTTCACTCTTTTCATCAACACGGGAAACATTCAACTGCCATCTTTATTCCACCATCTAAAGATGCTTCAATCTCAAATCTAAAATCTTGACTAGCTGCCTTTTGGCAGATAAGAAAGACCATAATTTGCTTCAAATGTTAACCTTTGTTTTTCTTTTGTTTTCGTAGAATACTTCGAATTCCGATCAAGCAATGCCATCTGAAATGAACAATTTAGCCTCAATAGTACTCCAAAACAGAAATTCTTGATACCTTAACAACTTAATAAGCAACAAGTTTGTGCTATGATGAAAAAAGTTGTTGCTATGTTAATAAATTAGAAATTGTTGCCTTATATCTAAAAGATCTTAATGAAAAAATATGAACTTTTTTCTTTTTTTAGATGGAGTCTTGCTCTGTCGCTCAGGCTAGAGTGCAGTGGTGCGATCTCCACTCATTACAAACTCCGCCTTCCTGGTTCAAGGGATTCACCTGCCTCAGCCTCCCGAGTAGCTGGGATTACAGGCGCCCACCACTGCACCCAGCTGATTTTTGTATTTTTAGTAGAGACGGGGTTTCACTATGTTGGCCAGGCTGGTGTCGAACTACTGACATCGTGGTCCACCCGCCTTGGCCTCCCAAAGTGCTAGGATTACAGGCGTGGGCCACTGTGCCTGGCCGAATTTTTTTTCTTAATCAGAAAAGCATTGCCTCTTCTGTTGATTTATTCAACTGGTTAAATCTTGACTCCAGGAAATCTGCTCAGAGGAAGTTTTTCAGTCCTCCGTGATTATTCTCTGTATGGCTATTGGGTTTACCCCTGGTGTATCATATGCTCCCAAGGGTTTTAAATGCTCCCCAGCAGCCACTTGAACATCAAATGATTGCCATCCGGCTCAGACAACTTGAGGAAACCAACACCAATTATGTAATTCCTGGCAGTGAGATGACTTTGAACCCCAGCATATCTTTTGATAACGGTAACATCTTCCTGACTCTTCGTCCCAACAAGTGCATCAATAGTGCTAAGCGAGAGGAAAGCTGTGCCATTTGGTCACACTCTCAGCTTGCTGAAGGAAAGACCGAAGTGGGGAGAAATGTTAAAAGAAAAAAATTAAAATGAAGACTCAGGCCTGAAAAATTTCTGAACAAACAAAATCAGGTAGGTCTTACAAATATCTTCAATTTTGCTTAAATTGCAAGCGTAAGTAAAACAAAACTTGCGTCATTTCTGATAAATGCTTGATTAGAACTAAAACATAACCGCAGCCAACTAATGTATGATAAACATCCAACTAACATATGATTTTGTGATTTTCCATCAAGATACTTAAAAAAAGGCAATTTTGTAATTGCAAACCCATCAAATAATTTCTTTATTTTGCTTCCATATTTACCCCATAAATACTTGCCCCAGGCAATTTGCCACTGGAACACTAAATCTTTTTCAGTCTGGTGTTCTCTAATTCAGGAATTGCTTCTTAAGTAAACTCTTTATGATTTTATTATGCCTCACATTTTTCTCAAATGCTTTCTGAGCTTAAAAATGATAGCTAAATAAATAAAAGTAAAAAAAATTGTGACTATAAAAACTGCAGAATTCAAAAGGCAAACAACAGACGGGGGCAAAGTAGTTCTAACAAAGACTAAACATTTGTTTGCTGACACTGGGGCTGTGAATAATCTTTTCTATTTTCCATGTTTTCTGCAATATGCTTACACAACTCTTCCAAGACATTTATATATTCATTTAGAAAAAAGAGGAAAAAATAGCATTTTTAATTTTTCTGAAATAAACGTAACTTGTAAAACTGGCAGTTTAAGGAAGTATTGAGAGAAAGGACTTCAGAACACTAAATAAAAGAAAATCTATTTGAACACTATGTCTAAACTATATTCATGTGAAATGAAAAGAAAAATTTTAAGTTTTGAATTATTTCTTTTTTTCTTTTCTTTTTCTTTCTTTTTTTTTTTTTTTGGTGAGATGGAGTCTTGCTCTATTGCTCAGGCTGGAGTACAGTGGCATGATCTTGGCTCACTGCAACTTCCTACTCCCAGGTTCAAGCAATTCTCCTGCGTCAGCCTCCTGAGTAGCTGGGATTACAGGTGTGCACCACCACACCCAGCTAATTCTTGTATTTTCAGGAGAAATGGGGTTTTGTCATGTTGGCCAGGCTGTTCTCAAACTCCTGATCTCAGATGATCTGCCTGCCTTGGCCTCTCAAAGTGCTGGGATTACAGGCATGAGCCACGGTGGCTGACCTGAATTACTTTTTTTTCTGTCTAGAAAGAAAGTGCTGCTGTCATGCACGTTGAATATGGGTTTACTTCTCTAAAAAACGTAAGAAGGAAAACTCTTTAAGTAGACACACAAACATTCCAAGAAGCTAAACATAGAAGTAGAGTTTTCATAGTCCTTTTGCTAAACAGATGGTAACCAGTGACTAGACAAGAAAATGGAAATTTTGATTTGACAAATGAACCAAAACAAAACCGCCATCCTTCCTCTAAGAGGCAGTGCTACTGGTTATGAGACACAAAGGGGTTGCATGGTAACCTGCGATTCCCGTTTCTCTCTGCTGCGAATCTCTTTTCCCAGTTGTAACAAATGAGTAAATATTCCGCCAGGGTGGATCATTAATTGAATTCCCTACTAGGCTGACTTCAGAAACTGGGAAGCCCTGAGCTGGGATTAGCAGCAGGGGTGCTTATGGTTTATGTGATTAAAATGATTTAGCCAGGTCTGGAAGAATGTCATTATGCTTCTTAGTGTCATTCAGGAGGTCTGCCAGGGACAGGGACAGGGAGGCTAACCTTACAGTGATGTGTTTCATTTGAACAATGACAAGGAACATGCAATGTAAGAAAAATGCTGTAAGTCACAGCAGACTGTGCACGCAGAGACTCAAAGCCTGTGGTTTGGGAATTAGAATCACATGCATTTGAAGAGGCTGAGTTGTTGATGTTAATGAATCCCTCCAACAATTTCCAAGGAGGAGAATCATCTGGGGACTGCTTCAGCTCAACAGACCCACTGGCTTTCAGAAGAACCCTGACTTGCTCTGTGCCAGCTTGCTACCTAGGCTGTCCTTGAAAACAGCAAAACAATTCTACCAGTCTCATAGCTCGTGGGTATATCCCCTCCCGCAGCTCCATCAGACCCGTGCTGGGCATCTTATCCAATGTGCCTGACAGTGACAGGGCTCAAGGGAAACCAAAGAGGACAGTGAACAAATAAATCTCTTCCCTGATCAGCCCTCAGCCCTCAGCTGTCTTCCAATTTGGGTTTTCCCAATGGAAGAGCCTTCTTGTTCTGGTGGCTGTTCTATGAGTTATCTTCTCTCTCATTAGGTTAGGCAGTGTATCTGGACCATCGCTACAGTGAGTGACACACGGTTATTAATTCACTGCTCATGTCCTGAACCAGAGTTTATCATGGTGGTTGCCAAATGGTGGCTTTCTGATTTCATGATTCCATGTACCCGTATTAGTTGGTATTCCACTGTAAGAAGGAGATGTTTTTCTTTTTCCCTTTGTTTGTTTGTATCAGTATTTTGTCTCTATTTGTTTTGATGCTTAAATTGTCCCAGATTTGGCTAGTGGAACAGACAAGATGGCCTCATGTCCTTTGATATGTTTTCATCGTTCTTAGCACACATTCTTACCTCCAGGCCTCCAGGCACAGCAGGATGTGACAGGCTGTGTTGAAGTTTTCTACCTTCAGACCTGAAACCAGCCATTTCTCTAAGAAGCCCTGTTTTCTCTTCTCCCCTCTATCCTCCCCTCCCTTCCGCTCCTCTCCTCTTTTTCCTTCCCCCCCTCTTTCTTTTTCTTTTTTTTTTTTTAGTGTTTAGAAACCACGATCTTGCTGGAAGGCTTGCTCGTTACCACTTGGTATCACTGTTCCTAGGCTCTCAGCAGAAGACAGAACAAAATAAATATTTATATCAATATCTATGTATCATCTATCTATTCAGCCATCTATCTACCTCCCTATTTATCTATTTTAAATATCATGTAACCTGATACCTCCAATACATGACTTCAGAGTTCACTCTAAACTTTCCCAATCTCCTTATTTATAATTTCCTTCTCAGAATTTGAGAAATACGTTTCCCAAGATGCACAATATATTGACTTATTTCCTCAATGCTAATGTATAGAGAGTAGTCCCCAAAGTGCTAACTCATACCACTGAGAAAAACTAACCTTCCAGCTAGAGTTCAGTATCTGTTTACTCTTCTTTCTGTCGCCAGCCTAAGGACAGTTAAAGTACTGTGTTCACATGGTATTTGGGCGTGTCCTTTTCCCTCATCCTTCAGTGTGGTGGTGGTATTCATTTGAAATCACATAATAATGAAGTTGATTTGTTGCTGTTTGTATTTTATTGGTAGTTGTTTTCCCATTTCTAATGATTGTAAGCATATGAAACTTTAATATGGTTTTAATAGTCAGAACTAAACTCAGGAAGGCCCACGCCCTTCCCTATCCTTTTCATCCCATTCTCTGGAGGTGACCAATGCCAACAGTTCCTGGTTCCTTCCCGTGTTACTTTACACAAATGATCTAATACATATGTATTTTATTCCCCCCTTTCCCTTGGCCTCTTTTAAACTTCACCTTTTTTTCTTAAACTTAATAATCCTTCTGGAAATCCTTCCAGCTCTTTATATGGAAATCTTTGATTCTTTTGTACAGCCTCATGGTACTCTGCTATGTGGATGTACCATAGTTTATTAATCCACAGTCTTAGGTGTGGGCATCTAGGCTGTAATATTTGGCTATTACAAGCAGTGCTGTAAAGAATCATCTTGGCTTAGATTTATAGTTCAAAAGGTAAACACATTTGTAGTTTTGTTGGATATTGCCAACTTCCTTTCCATAAAGGTTGTACCAATTTTCATTCTGATTACCAATATCAGAGAGAGCCTGTTTCCTCACAGTTTTGCCAATATAATGTGTTGTCATACTTGTAAATCTTTGCCACTCTGACGTATGAGGAATGGAAATCTTAGTGTAGTCTTATTTATTTTTATTTAGGGGCTGTATACATCTTCATTTATTTAGATCTTCAATTTCTTACAGCAACGTTTTGTAGCTTGAAGCGTAGAGGCTTTGCACATAATTTGTTAAACTTATTACTAAGCATTTATCTCTTCCTCTTTATGTCTGGCAAGATTTCCACTTTTCTATCGATGAGCTGCAGGGTGTTAGCCACGTGCTTTGAAGAAAGTTGTTTGACAATTTTCTTTTTAGCCTTTGCATAGGTAATCAATTTGTTTTACTCCCTAATAAAAAAGTGGTTCCCACCCCTGCCCCCGGCAAATATTCATTCTAGTGATGCATTTAGGATTATGGGATACCACTTCTAATTCTCTAACTGGCTACCTATCTCTTTCTAATTTAACCTTAGTTCTCACTGTATGAATATTGCTGTTTTACCAAAATGTTGGATTTCTCCCTTTTCAGTCCCTTTAGACAACTTAAAAAATCTCTAAATTTATCAGAAAAATCATTCCATGGGGCCCAGTGTCAATTCATGCTAGATTTTTATTGCTGCATTTCACTTACTGTTGTGTTGAATCTACAGATCAGCAGAGGAATAGTGGACATATTTATAACATAAAATCTTTAAATCTCTAAATGGTATTTCTCCTTTTTCTTAGGTATTCCTAAATATCTTTCTGTAGAGTTGCGACATTTTATGGCTGAATTTGGAGGTCATTAGGAACGTTTCCATGTTGAGCTTCCAATGCGTGATTGTGATTATTTTTCCATTAGTTAAGAAGTTTTAATTATTTTTTATTTTCGAGGAAAATTTTGCTTTCTTTTTTAAGCTCTATTGAGGTATGTTTGACATAAAAATGCATGTATTTAATGTAAACATTTTGATGAGTTTGGACATATGCATACACTTGCGATGCTGTATCAGTGTAGTTTTTTTTTTTTTTCAGATGGAGTCTCGCTCTGTTGCCCAGGCTGGAGGGCAGTGGTGTGATCTCTGCTCACTGCAGCCTCTGCCTTCCTAGTTCAAGTGACTCTCCTGCCTCAGCCTCCCAAGTAACTGGGATTACAAGTGCCCGCCACCACACCTGGCTAATTTTTGTATTTTTAGTAGAGACGGGGTTTCACCGTGTTGGCCAGGCTGGTCTCAAACTCCTG